CGGGCACCTCCTCGGCTCTCTCGAGCAGCAGCTCTAGAATTGGCCTCAGGAAGGCGGATGAAGAAGTCCCGGCCAGCGGCCCCCTTCCTCCCTGCAGTGTGAAAGCTGGGTGCACCCCATGCTGGCAGCCCACCCCTGGCCCTTCGGCATCTCCCGAGGTGGGAAGTGTGGGGTGCACTGCTCCCATGGGTGGCTGGGAGTGTTGGGGAGAGTAGGGCCGCTGAAGGAGGGACAGGTGCACTGGGCGGGCAGCTCGGGGCTGGAGCCAAGGCAGAAGGCTTGTCACTGGGCTCACCCTGCACTGAGCACACAGCACACGTGTGCTGCAGCCCGTGGTGCCCAAATCCCTGGGAGCTCACAGTCCCAGGGTCGCTGGGTACAGCCTGTGTGGTGATGGTTGATGAGCCTGTGAGCAGGGGCTCTGTGGCCTGCATGTCTTGGCAGCTGCCATTGAGGATCTGCAGAGGACGCTGGGGCAGGGCTGGCATCAGTGCTTTGGGCAGCCTGGGGCTGCAGGCCCAGGCAAGACAAGCCCCTATGCTAGGTTCAGCTGGTCTGGGCTCTGACCTTGCTCTGTCGCTAGGATTTCACCTGCTTTATTTCGGTTAATCCTGGTGGAGAGGACTGTGACTATCTCCATTTTATGGACAGGAAAACAAGCCCAGGGAGGATGAAGCCTCCTAACTTGGGGGGCAGGAGTGAGGGGTGCTCAGGGTTGGCGCTGAGGCTGCCGAGGCCCTCCTCCGCTGGGCAGGTGGTGCCCCTGCTTTCCTGCCCCATCCTGCGCTTTAAAACCAGGCAGAGGTTTGGGGCAGCAGAGGTTGGGAGGCCCGTGGCCATGAGGAATGAATCCCCAGGGAGGGCGGTGGGGCCTGGGGGGCCTGAGGCTCTTTCACCAGGAGGAGCCACAGCCCCTCCCTGCCACCATGAAGTCACCTGCTTTTCGGGCTGGGCAGGGCAGGAAGAGGGTGAACTGGTTCCTCCATTCCGTGGGGAGCTGGGAAGAGTTACTCGGCTTCCTGGGAGCAGCATGGGATTTTCCCAGGGGGCTTGGGAAGGGGTGGCCTGTGGGCAGTGGCTGGACTCCTGCTGCCATCCTGACTGTCTGGGAAAGCAGAGTGGTAGCTCTGTCTTAAGAGTCCTGCTCTGGCCCTCACGAGGCAGGAGGCCCTGAAGGGCGCACGGGAAGTCTCGATGCCCTGTGATGGTCACTGGCAAAGAAGGAAGGAGTTTTGGGGAAGTCAGTTTTCAGAGTTTTCGGGAATGGGACAATCAGGATACAGTAGTGTGATTTTCTGATGCAGGGCATTAAAAGAGAAACTGAAACTGTCCTGTTAGCCTGGCGGGAAAGAGCCCTGTGGTCACCCCCTCTTGGGTTCTTGCTCTCAGAAGCTGAGGTTTGCCGGCGCTGAGAGGTGTGGGTGGGGTGGAGGTGAGGGGAGAAGTGAGAAGGAAAGCTGGGTCTGGGAGTCAGATCTGGCTGCTGTACTCAGCCTCGGGTCCTTGAGGGTCACATGGCCATCCTGAGGTCTCCTGGATCAGGTGGCTGCAGAGATTAGTAAGGTAATGGATACCAAGCCCCCTGGCTCGGAGCCTGGCCTAGAGCAGAGTCCCGGTGAGTGAAAGCGATTCCTGGTGGCCATGGGAAGCTTCAGTGCTCCGGACCTTCCTAGCCAGAGCTCTGAGCCCCTGACTTCATCTGCAGATGAATTCTCTGCTCTCAGATAAAGCCCCTTTTCTGGGCCTCAGATGAGGTGGAGGTGCTCAGGGAACTGCTGGGGCTCTGCGCCAGGGCCAGGGCTGTAGGTGTCCCTTGGCCTCTCTGATCATCTTCAGCAAAGGAGAGTCTGCAGAGCCATCCACTCCTTGCGCTTCCTCTGCTCTTCCTGCGGCTCCAGCGCGCCCTCACTCTGGAAGGCATCGCCATGCCATTCCGTGTGCTGAGCCGACTGCTTTCCGCCGCTGCTGCCAAGGCCAGAGCTGGTTCTTGGGCCCAGTGCCAAGACAACTTGATTGTCATAGCTCCCCCAAAGCCAAGAAGCAATGTTGTCCTGGAAGCAAAGCTGCGGCAGAATGAAGCCCTGGGAGGAGATCCCAGCAGCAGTGTTGAGGGTGGAGCCAGAATGGGGCAGGGGCAGGGGCAGGTTGGGCTTTGCCCCAGGGCTGGGCAGGGTGGAGGTACTTACAGCTGGAGCAGTTGGCAGCCAGAAGGCTGGGAGGAAGTAGCTTGTCCACTCGTGGTTTGTGTGGTGTCCTGAGGAGCCTCAGGGAGGAGGTCCCTGCGGCTCTAGGGAGAGCAGGAGTGGGGGCTCTGGCTGATTGCACAGTTCAAGGCAGGGTTGCTCTCTGGCCTCCAGCCCTGCGACAGAGGGAAGTGGAGGCTATGGTTCTGTCTGCCTCTGGGGATTGATGTCTTTCTGTACCGTTCGGATGAATGGGGAGATGGGGTCTGGAGAGGAGAGTTTGATGCAGACCTCCTGGCTGGCCCTGGGGTCTGCATGTGTGGGTGGTGGCTTTGCTGGCCCCTCTCCCCAGCCATCCCTAGATGCTTGTGTAGTGTCCATGCTTTTCCTGCCACTTGCACAGATGAGCCAAGATCAGCAGGAAGGGAGGTGCCTACCTGCCCCAGGGGAGGAGACAGACTTTGCTAGGGCTTCATGATGGTGTGGCTTCTTGGAAATGTGTTTCTCTAAAACGGGTTTGAGGAGAAAAGATTTTTTTTGAATGTTCAAAGACAGTGATAACATGATGTCAAATACAAAAACTGCCTGAAATCCCAAAATAAAGCAAGAACTTCAGAGATATTTCAAGCCAGCAGCAGACTCTGAACAGCATGGGGTGACTCCTCAGACCTGCTCTGCTGCCAAGGGGCTGGCTCTCCCACCCTGCTGGTGCCTGAGGGCAGGCAGGGGGAGCCAGTGCTGCTGCTGCAGCCTCTCTTGCCCTCTGGGTGTGGCTCGGGTCTCTGCTGAGCAGGGTGAGAACCCAGGCTCCAGGGCCACCCTCGCCTTTCCTGGGTAACTGCCCTGATGTGGGGAGGTGGGTCCTGGCAAGGGGGTGGCTCCTGCTGGGGCTGAAGTGCTGCTGCACACTCTGGCCCTACAGGTATTATCGGGGGACCCACGGGGTCATTGTAGTTTACGACGTCACCAGTGCCGAGTCCTTTGTCAACGTCAAGCGGTGGCTTCACGAAATCAACCAGAACTGTGATGATGTGTGCCGAATATTAGGTGAGGCTGTGCCCAGGGACTAGGGGTGGGGGTCAGGTCGAGGGAGGGAGACAGCCACCTGTGCCCTTCAGGGCTGCGCTGACTCTGCCTTGCTTTGAAGTGGGCAATAAGAATGATGACCCTGAGCGGAAGGTGGTGGAGACAGAAGATGCCTACAAATTTGCCGGGCAGATGGGGATCCAGTTGTTCGAGACCAGCGCCAAGGAGAATGTCAACGTGGAAGAGGTGAGGCCCTGGGTCACCGGCTCCGCCGCACCCTCGTGGCCCTTTTCTTCTCGCTGTTGGCCTGCTCGAGGCATCTAAATGGCCAACAGAAAATGTCCTAGTAAATGCCATTTACTGAGTGCCTACTATGTGCCAGGCCCTTTAATGATCTTAGTTCATAGCTCAGCAGTCCTCTGATGTGGGTACAATTATTCCCACATTTCAAATAGGAAAACTGAGGCTCCAAGTGTTGAAGTAACGTAAGGCCCACCACCCAGCTAGGAAGAAGCTGAGTGAACCTGTCCCACACCAAAGCCAAGCAGTTTCTGCACCAGTCCTCTGCCTCACTGGCCGCCTTGTGGGCTGTGGAGCTCAAAGGCCTATGGGAAGCCGAGGATCCCCCTCTGCTTCGGGGCACATGGGCCATACAGTGGCGGGGAGTAAGACTTCTCTGCAGGTCAGGCTGGTGTCCTGACGCTGGCCTGTCCACCTGGGCCTGTGGGCGAGGCTGGTATGACACTGGGCGGTGACTTCACCTCTTTGGGCCCCACATGCCGTGAGGTGGTGTGGAATGGGCAGACCCTGGGTCACCTCTGTCTATGAACAGGGCAGGGGCACTTTCATCTGTCATGTCACCAGATTCCAGCTGAAGGAAAGGGGTTTGTCTCTGTAAAAAAAAAAGGACTGGAGGCTGGGCTTGGTGGCTCACGCCTGTAGTCCCAGCACTCTGGGAGGCGGAAGCAGGCAAATCACCTGAGGTTGGGAGTTTGAGACCAGCCTGACCAACATGGAGAAACCCTGCCTCTACTAAAAATACAAAAAAATTAGCCGGGTATGGTGCTACACGCCTGTAATCCCAACTACTCGGGAGGCTGAGGCAGGAGAATTGCTTGAACCTGGGAGGCAGAGGTTGTGGTGAGCTGAGATTGCATCATTGCACCCCAGCCTGGGCAACGAGCGAAAATCCATCTCAAAAAAAAAAAAAGGACTGGAAAACCCCTATGAACAACTGTGAGATTGACTTCCCCAAGTCCACACAGCTCATGGGGGGCCTTTGATGATGTTCCTTTTTTCAAACTTATTTGCTGAGTTAGGGTCTAACTCTGTCATCCAGGCTGGAGTGCAGTGGTGTGTTCATGGCCCACTCGTTCTCCTGGTAGCCTTGTTCTCCTGGGCTCAAGTGATCCTCCCACCTCAGCCTCCTGAGTAGCTGGGACTACAGGTGTGCACCACCACACCTAGCTGATTTTTGTATTTTTTGTAGAGATGGGGTTTTAGCAATGTTGTTCCTTTTTGACCTTTAAATAAAATAATTCACCACCTCCTTCTAGAATAGGCTTTGAAGACATACATACCAAACATTCACACGTAGGAAGTGTGGCCAGCAGGGGCCTCCTGGCCAGGTCTGAGGCCGGCCCTTCCTCTTTCCTCTCCACAGATGTTCAACTGCATCACGGAGCTGGTCCTCCGAGCAAAGAAAGACAACCTGGCGAAACAGCAGCAGCAGCAACAGAACGACGTGGTGAAGCTTACGAAGAACAGTAAACGAAAGAAACGATGCTGCTAATGCCGCCCAGTCCACTGCAGAGACTGCACTGCGGTCCCTCCCCCAGCCCGAGGTCCGCGGGGGTTCCTCGGGGGACAGTCTCAGTTTCGTGCCGTTATTTAAAGAATTCTCTCCATGTTTTTGTATCGGGAGGCGCCATCGGCACTTCCTCCCTCTCCCCCGTTGAGTGCCAAGAAGGTGTTGGACCAGCCCGCCCTTCCCTACTGGTGCCCCCTCCTCCCCGGCCAAGGCGCCTGGACCTGGCAAGGACGCTGCCAGCCGAGCGGACTGATTTGCAGAGTCTGTACATAGTGTATATTGCTCTACCCGGCCGCACACCGAGTCCTGCTCTGGCTTTTGCCTCCTTGATGCCAGCCTGCTGCAACGGACCCTCCCTGCGCCCCTCCCCAGCCCATCTTACTACAAGCAGCGTCCTGAGGAGACAGCGTCACGACGTTCTAGCCGCATCTTTGGCCAGCCTGAGCCAGTGGAGTGGGCTCCGTGTTGCTCATTCTCTGACAGGCTGTCAGCTTCTGTCTCTGGCACGCAGGGTCTTGCCCCTTCTCCGGGGCCTGTGCCAGCTCCCTTCCCTCCCTGTTCTCCTGCCCCCACAGCCATTCTGGGAGCTGGGGAACCTGACCTCAAGGCCCTGCGGTTCCAGAGGTGGTCAGTCTTGCCCCTTGGCCAACAGATTTCTTATCCTGCCTTCTAGATGTTTCTGAGCTCCAAACCCAGGGGAGCCATGGCTTCTCATTTCTACCATGAGGTTTCAATTCCATCAGAAAGGTTGGGGTAGGTTCGTGCAGAGATGGGGCTGGCGTGGGGGCTGCAGGAGCGGTATTTTAACAGATCAAGAGAATGAAGCCAGATCAGTGAATTAAGTTCCTCACAATTATTTTCTTTCCCTGAGGTTTGATTGGCAGAACAGCAAAAGTTGGGGTGAACACACTTTGTGTTCACTGTTTTTAGAAAAAAATCGAATGGCTTCCTGCCATTGTGGGGCTGGGCTCTCATGCCTGGGGCCTCTGGGCTGGGACCGTGGACAGCCCCTTGTCACTGTCCTAATCTTTGTGAGGACAAAGGTAGCAAGAGGAGTTCCTGGCAGATGGGAAGGAATGGCTGGGGCAGTCAGTTTTGACCCCCAGTCCCCTGGAGAAAAACCAGGGTCATCTGCACCTGCTGACTGCTTCCCTAGCCCCCAACTCGAACACCTCATTACCCTTTCCCCTACAGGGATCAAGTGACCTGGGAAGAACTGATTCCAGGATTTGTTTCCTTAGACTTTCTTTCCTAGGTGATTTCTAGGCAGAGCCCTGATTGGACAATCACAGATCACACTGCAGTTTCCATGTTAGCACTGTGGATGGGTTTTTAATCAATAAAAACTGGGGGTTTCTTCTCACCCGTCTCTCCACTCGCCCAAACTGCCAAAAGCTGGTGGTTTTGGGACAGGCCTCCACTTCGGAGCCACAGGATGGGGTGGGGGAGCTCCGTGGGCCTGGGAAGGAGGAGGAGGGGCTGCAGGGCTGACGAGCAGGCAGCCTCATCTGGTCTGGGGGCGGGAGAAGTGGGGTCTCCGTCCTTGTGACTGTTCTGGTTGGCCATGGGCCCTGTGAGGATGTGTGGTGCTTGGGGGCTCCTGTGCCAGTGGGTGGGGGGCATGCTTGCCTTTGAGTGATCAGGCAAGGCCAGCAGGGGTGTGCTTGCAAATTCAAGCAATAAGTTGGGGGGGGGTTGGTCCTGGGAGCTTCCAGCCCAGGCTGGGAGCCCCCATGACTTCTGGCAGCTGGACGTCCAGCCCCAGGTGGTGGGGTGATTTTGGTCATGGCAGTGTGCCTGTCCCACTGTACACGCATGAATGGGGGTTACGGGGTGGGGGTGGGGACTCAGGGCTGGACCGACGTCCTAGTGGACCTGATGTGAAATTCCTGTCACACACCACCACTTTTAAATGGTTTGCTAGGATTATTTCTGTATTGAAAGTTTCTAATTATGCTTTTTAAAAAAATACTAAAAATAAAGGTTCAAGCTGCCAAATTTTCTTCCAGGGTCTGTCTGCTCTCCCTCCAGAGATGTGCTCTGAGTGGGCCTGGCTTCTTTCCACCCAGCGTCCAGCTCTTCCCTGCTCTTGGTCTAGGTCTTGCACAGGAGCCTGTCGAGGCCTGGGACACTTCCAGAAGCCAGATCTGCTTTCTCCATGAACAGGTGCTCCAAGGTTGAGTTCCCCCTAGTTGGATGCAGTGGCTGGGAGCACATGTGGTAAGATGCCAGGGGAAGCTCCGTGTTTACCCTCCGCATGCCTGGAAAGGTGCAGTGGAAGTCTTTGCCTGGAGTGGCTCTATCTGGCTTGAAGTTTCTGCCAAGCTTTAGGGCCCTGCTGGCCTGGGAAGCAGCGCTGGCAGGGGACAGTGCCAGGCAAGAGGGACAGGGCAGGATCCCCTTCCTGGCCACATGCCTTGTTAACTACCAGCATCTGCAGTGACCCAGGCACAGGGGAACCCACAAGTGCTACCTCTTCAGCAGCAGCCAGCGGTGAGTCTGACATATCATCTACATTTAGACCAAACCCCACCCCCCACCCCCGTCAAAAAGCCAGACAGAGGCAGGAAGCTCCGTAGAAATTCATTTTATTCTTATTCAGACTATTTTCAAAAGAAGCAGTGGTGCGCTGTTTTTCTAAAAATATGCCTTTATAGATTTTTATATATGTATATTATAAAATCCATACATGTATTTACATGATTGCTACATACAAAATTACAGCACTGTGGTATGTACACATCTACAGGTACATTCTTTCCGCGCATCCCTGCTGTGCTTTCCCCGTGTGAGGGAGGGAGACTGAATCAGCTGTGAGCAGCTGGGGGCTGGCTGGGCCGCGGAGCCTCTGAGTGGGGGCCTGGGTGGAGGAGGTGGGGCAGCTGCCGAGGCAGGAGCAGCAGCCAGCAGGCAGTGTCTGGAAGCTCCTGGCAGCCTCCCCATTCCCTCCACCCCGTGGTGCCCATGCTGCCCTCAAGGCGAGGTGGCTGACCACAGACCCCTCTAGTGCCTGGACTTGCTTGGCTGGGCCAAGAAGTTGTGTATGTGAGGGGTGGAGAAAGGGAGCTGTGAGAGGAGGAGGAGACCCTGTCCAGCCCCAGCCCTGAGCAGGGGAAAGGGCTGGATGGCTAAAGCCTGCAGATGACTGGCAAGAACACTGCCTGGCCCGGCCCTGCTAAGGGGCAGAGACTGGAGGCTGGGAGGGAAAGTAGTGGCAGCCGGGGGCCAGAGTCTTCCTCCTGGGGGCTCAGGGGGTGGCCTCAGCTGAGCTTGGGTAAGCCCTGGCTCTTAGGCCCTGCGGCCAGAGGCTTGGCCTCCTGCCAGCAGAGGTGCATGCACGAGGGGGAGGGGCTGCCATCTCCCCTTCAACCCTAGGCCAGGGGCTAGGGAAGGAATGGAGGCTTAGGCATGGCCTGCTGCCCCGAAGGACTAGGCCCCGGGGCTAAGGCCTCCTGAGACATGCAGAGAAGGGCCTCCATTCCTTCTGTTCCCCACTGGCTAAAATCAAGGAGGCAGCAGTGCCTGGGGGTAAGCTGCGATCTGTTGGGCTGAGCTGAGAAACCAACACCAAGAGGCCCCTCTGGGAGGTGGCCTAACCCTGCTCCGGCCAAGGGCAGCCTTCAGTGGCCAAGGAAGACCCCCACCTCTAGGTTTCCATCCCCACTGACGAAAGGGAGAAGGCCCTCCCGGACCCACGGGGCCCTAGTGCGAGGGGCAGGGCAGCTACTTAGCTGCTTAGCTGCACGCTGCGGGGAGGCCCTCGCCTGCACTGCTTTTCCAGCTGCCTCCAGTCCACCCATCTTTGGTGGCCTGACTCCTCCTAACTTAAATTTTCCTGAAGAATGAGAAGAGTCGTTTGCCTTCAGCGGTGCTGGGCTCGTCTCCCCGCCCGGCACTATGGCCCCTGCAGAGGGAAGCAGCCGGCTGGCTCTGTTCCTTCAGGTGCGTGTCCATCAGCTGCCGGTCAATGACCCTGTGCATGTCATCCTGCAGAGGGGAGGGGAGAGTGGCCAGGTCTGAGCAGCTGCTCTGACCTGGCCCTAGGGGTGGACAGGGAGGTGGCAACGTCAGACAGATGAGACATGAGGATGAGATGATTGAGGGCTGCAGCCTGGACTGCCCTGACCACGAAAGCGGTGAGCATGGGCATGACACAGGGCACACGTAGGAGCCTTACAGCACCTCCAGCCTCCTCAGGCTTGGGCCGGGTTCTCCTCGACAGTATGACCCCTGCTGCACCACCATGGTCCTCAGCTGACTGCTCAGGTGGTCTGCCCCTGCAGTCCCCACACTGGCACTCCGCCTCCTCTGACCAGGCCTTGCGGCTCTGCCTCCTGGGTCCTGTGGGCCTGGCTGTGCCTCCAGTTTGGTTTGCCACCTCCAGCCCCTGAAGGCCCTAGGGCCATTTCCAGGGGGCTCCCAGCTCCCAGCCCAATGGCCTGGCCTTGGGGGCTACTGTTGTCCAGAAAATGCCTTCCTCCCCACGGCCCGCCCCACCATGTTTTACAGAATAGCAGCCTCTCCCATAGAGGAGCATGTGGACACAGCGGCTCCACCCGCTTCCCATTCTAGTGGCTAGATTCTGACTCTGAGTAAGACTCCATTCCATGCTGGGCATGGTGGCTCATGTCTGTAATCCAGGCACTTTGGAGGCCAAGGCGGGCGGATCACCTGAGGTCAGGAGTTCAAGACCAGTCTGACCAACATGGTGAAACCCCGTCTTTAAAAAAAAAAAAAGATTCCATTTGACAAAAACGTTCTGTCACTAACAAAGTTTGAAAACTATTGGTTTAGAAATACGAGCAGCCTGTGTAATTAGCATCATCAGTAAACGTAACGCACATCTGCTCGATTGCTTCATGACTTGAACCTGGCAGGCTCTGCGGCATCCTGGTAAAAAGACCCTGAGCTTTTCTGGCTAAACCCTAGAGTCAGTCAGTCTACGGTGTCTGAGCACAGGACAGGTGAGGCCTGCATTCAGGGCAGGCTCCCTGTGGCCGGGGCAGATGACCTCTCTGGTACTGAGCGGCCACTTGCAAGATGAGGGCATGAAGTCGGGCTGGCCAGGCCCCTCCACCTGAGCACCTTGTCCATTTCCTCCTCCCTTTCACCCGTGGGTGTCATTCTAATATCTCTGCAGGTTTCAGCATGAAACAAAGGGGCCTCCGCGAATCACTGTGGGGTAGCAGTGAGTGTGGACTCCCCAACGCTCTCTGGCTCAGGGCCTGCTCCCCAGCCTCCCCATTCTCTCAGCCCCGTCCTTCAGACTCAGCTCCTTCCTGGTCTTCTCCTTGCCCTTGTCTTCTTCCTTTCTCTTCCATCCCCTTTTCTGCTTGCCCCTCAGAGCTGACACCATGCCAGGTATTTGCCAACACATGGTCTCTACTTGTAAGGTTCCAGTGTATGATCTTTGGCACAGTGCCCTGTACTTAGGACGTGCTCAGTAAAATCTAAGCTAAAACCAATGTAGGAATGCTAAAGGGCCCTTTAAAAACCAACCTTTCAAAGCTTCCAGTTTTTTGTCTGGCACACTGTAATCTGCATTTTTAAACTTTAAGCAATTAGTTCTGTCCAGCTCACCCCTTAAGAGTTTCCCAGACACATGCTGCTCACAATTCCATGCCTCCTGGTCCCTCAGTGACAGAACAGCCATTTATGAGAAGATGGCACCAGCCATCAGCGCTGGGCCACGTGCTGCTGAGGAGCTCACCGGATGTGACTATGATGGAGGAGGGAGCTGGGACTGGAGACATGTCACAGTGCACAGAGATGACGCCAGGCTCCAGCACACACAACACAGTGGGCCATGAGGGGAGGCGGCGGGGCAGCACGACGATGGCAGGGCAAGAGGTTGGATGAGATTCAGGGCTTAGGCTCACCTCAAAGGCAGGAGGGGTGTACAACTAAAGCTGTTGATACGGGAACTGAGAAAGGCCACTAGATCAGAAACCAAAGGAGCCAGATAGTAAAAAGCCCTGAGGAAGCAAACTGTAGCCAGGAGAGAAGAGAGAGAACGGCGGTCAGCCAGGGCGCCGCCAGCTGGCTGCCATGCAGAGCTGAGGAGGCAGGGACTGGCACCCTGTGGTGGGGCCAGTGCTCTAGCTGCCAACCCCAAGGAGCCCTGGGAGGAATGGTCACCAACAACCTGCCCTCCTCAGGTGGCTTACCTTGTAAAGCCACAGACGGCTTTTTCATCTGTCGGGATGAAAATTCTCGGGGAGAAATATTAATGTTTATACTTATATCCTAAAACTGTGCCACCTCAACCTCACCAACAAAACCAAGCCAGCCACAGCCCCGGCCCATGCTGGACCCCAAAAATAGTGGGCTTACAGAGGGACCCACTGATTCATCTTCCCCAGGGCCTGCGCCAGCATGGTGCTCTTTGGAAAAAGCAGGCTGACCCTTGAGAAGGGGAAGGCAGCAGCTGTCGGCTGCGGGAGGGCCACTGAGCCACATCCAGCTGTGAATTTTCATGCAATCACATGGAGCTTCCTGGGCCCTCCATGTTAACCAGTTGTTCCTTCCCAGCTTAAAGCCCAGACAATCAGCTGCCGGCGGGCCCCATTCCAAGTCAGGAGATAACTACATCTCCAAACAGCAATAGCCTGGGGACTGTCGCTCGAGCATCCTCACACATTCTTCCCCAGGACTAGGGAAAGAGGAGCTCTTGATCTTGCCAGGTGGAGACTGGGATATGCTGTTCACATGGGGCCCTCTAGTAGCAAACTCTCCTTACACTCTGCCTAGGTTCAGAGATTCCTCCTGGAATCATCTCTCGCCCTCGATCTCAGGGCTCTGGTTTACCTGCCAGGCCTCCAGCTGCTGCGAGAGGTTCAGTTTCTGCTGAATGGCATCCAGCAGCTGGCTGTTCAGAGACATCATGTCCATCCTGCACTTGGCGAGCTCCAGCTCCACAGCGTTCTTCCTGAGAACAGACAAGCCAGTGTGAGCATGGACACCTGTGCCAGAGGCATCTGGATCTTTACTTGGGGCACCTGGAGTCCACAGGATGAGGAATCAGGCTCTGACCCCCAACTCACAATAAACGGCAACCGCAGCAATAACTATGATGTTGCCTGTAGAGGGTTCGTTTGCTATATGTTTTCACATATAGTCTCTCAGTTTTCATAACCAACCTGTAGGTGAAAGGAGTATTTGTCGTCTCCATCTCAGAAAGTTGAAAAAGGACAGTACTAAAATGAGGACTGGAACCCAGAGGGGATCAAAGACCTCACACAACATAAAGGAGTTACTCATCCTTCCCCAAAGAGGCCCATCCCTACTGGAAGGCAGGCACCTTGTCCTGCTAGTATGGAAGGGATTCCTTGTAGTTAGCAACCCCCTTTAGGGGGACTGTCCTGAAGATACGGAGGTGTGCGAAGGTAGCCACACAGTGGTGATCATCACAGTCTCATCAGAATAGTCAACGATCAGGAAACTGGTCATAAATGGTAAGATGGAACACAGTCATCAGTAAAAACCATACAGTGTGTCCAGGCCCAGTGGCTGGCTGCTGTAATACCAGCACTTTGGGAAGCTCAAGTGGGAGGATCACCTGAGGAGTGATCAGGAGTTCGAGACCAGCCTAGCCAACATGGTGAAAATACAAAAATTAGCCAGGTGTGGTGGCAGGCATCTGTAATCCCAGCTACTCGGGAGGGTGAGGCAGGAGAATCGCTTGAACCTGGGAGGTGGAAGTTATAGTGAGCCAAGATCGAGCCGCTACACTCCAGCCTGGGCAACAGAGCAAGACTCTGTTTCAAAAAAAATAAAAACAATACAACAACAATAAAACCCCACAAAAAAACCATGAGGTAGAATATTTGTCAGTTCATAACATATTGCTGAGTGGATAAAAACACCAGAAAACAAGGTCTAGTATAACACTAGTTTGTAAAACAAAAACTGCCTGTGTATTCAAGGATATGCACGAAAACACCTAGTTGGTTCTCTCTGGGTGATGATTACTGATGGGGAGAAATATTAACGTTTATACCCTTATCCTAAAATTGTACCACCTCAACCTCACCAACAAAACCTCAACCTTATCTCATCCTCCGACATACTTCTGCATTTTCTATTTTCACATTTTGTGTGTGTTGCATATATTACTTTCTTCACCTTTCCCAACATTCCTAAATCATGGCTGTTCAATGCAAAAGAAAATTTTTTCTTAGGGCAGGGGAACCGGCATAAAGGTTGAAGGACCTCTGTAGGGGCAGCCCTGGTTGCCCAACTGCAGAAACAAGTATTATTTACCCCTTGCCTTCATTAATCGCTCCCTTAAGCAATCGAAACAACAAAGCTAACAAACGCATGCTCCTTGTATAGGGCCAGTGATGAAAGTGCAGGGCCCAAGAGCAGCCAGGGGATCCGCCTGCAGAGGCCACCTAGCTCGAGTCTCGCAACACCCAACTGCACTAACCGACGTGTGGCCGGAAGGAGGAGCAGGTGGGTCCCACTTGCAAAGTGCTCAGGCCACTGCTGCGACCAGCACTTCTTTGGCTTCAGGTTTACTAAGCAATTAGTCACCTGTGCTAATACCGTAAACTGTGCCCCTCCCACCAGCCTCCCCTAGAGAAACCGCTCCAGACAGCTTCGCCACCACGTCAGCCCCGCCCACTGCGGCTGCGACATGACCCAAGCTCGTCCAATGGGTGTTGAGGGCTCAGACGCCGAAGGCTGCTTCCGTCACAGCAGCTGCTATTGGCTGGCAGTAAACGACGGAAATCCTCACGCGGCATCAGTTGCCATGGACACCCGCCCTGTGGTCCAGCAAGCATCAGAACCCGTGGTGCCCCACAGCAGCCGGGGCCTCCTGAGCTTCCAGCGGCTCCCGGCAGATGGCGCCGAGAGCAGTGGGAGCCCCGGGAATGTGCTGACTAACGCCGCTGCCGAGGAGACGAGGGGCCCAGGGCCACAGCGGCGGCGCAGCGCCAGGCATAGTGGGGTTCCTTTCCTTTCCAAAAAGGCCTTAAGCCAGGGCCTGCCTGGACGACATTTGCTCATTAAAGAATCTTAGTGCTCGTCATTCATAGGATACGTCAGACCAGGATCAACACATTAATCACATTTTAAAATAGGAATATTTCCAAGGGCTCGAGTAATTCCTTTTCAAAAATGAAACCACTAGTAACGTACTCGTTTTTGTAAGGCAGATTACTAGCCCAAGATTTTGTTTTTAGTGAAGGCCTTTCACCTGCAAGGAGATAAAATTGCTACTTAAATTTTCCTGAAACTCATTTATTGTATGGGAGAAGGTGCACCTTAAGGTTTCTGCAGTCCAGTGATGAGAAGGAAGTTATTTTTTCTTAGGTTTTCTCACCGCTGACTACACATTAAAATAAACAGGGAAAGAAGTGGGCCCCAAAGAGGGCCACCACACGGTGACTTCGATTGTACCGTTCTGGTGTCTGAGAGCTCCCCAGATGATTCTAATGTGCAGCCAGGATGGAGAATCAGAGAGAGTGTACATGGAGGCATCTATCTGGTAAAATTAAGGTTTTGTACAAAATGTTCAGCCTCTTTTCCTTGTCTGAGAGAAGGTAACCAACCCATGTGTACGTCTATCTTCAATCTGCCTTTTTTTTTTTTTTTTTTTTTTTTGAGATAGGATCTTGCTCTGTCACCCAGACTGGAGTGCAGTGCCATGATCACAGCTCACCACAGCCTCAACCTGCTGGGCTCAAGTGATCCTCCCACCTCGACCTCTTGAGTATCTGGGACTTCAAGAGTATGCCACCACACTCAGCTAATTTATTTTTATTTTTGGTAGAGACAAGGTCTTACTATGTTGCCCAGGCTGGTCTTGAACCCCTGGGCTCAAGCAATCCTCCCATCTTGGCTTCCCAAAGTGCTAGGATTACAGGCACCTTGCCTGGCCTCCTCCTGCTTTTTATTTCTAATGGGCTTCCACAATTAGCATCTTCATTTTACCATTTTATTCCGTCACACAATTTCACTATTACTCATAAAGGTATGATGCCTCCTCTATCACACTGTCACTTTTTTTTGAGACAGGGCCTCATTCTGTCATCTAAGCTGGAGTGCACTGGTGTGATCTTGGCTCACTGCAACCTTTGCCTCCTGAATTTGTGGTCCTCCCACCTGGCTTTTTTTTTTTTTTTTTTTTTTTTGTAGAGACAGGGTTTCACCATGTTGGCCAGGTTGGTCTTGAACTCCAGACCTAGTGATCCACCTGCCTCAGCCTCCCAAAGTGCTGGAATTGCAGGCCTGGGCCACCATGCGCCAGCCTTAAAACACTGCTACTTAAGTATCCATTAACTAAATATAGCAGAAATCCAAGCAGCAAAGATACATAGTTATGTGGGCTTCACCAAGAATAATTTCTAAAATAAACCAGCAACTGACAGACATCATGACATGCGGTTCTGACCAGATAGAAAGAGGACCCAAGGGTAAAACAGAAATGGAGTTAATGAAAGTTATGAAAGAGAACAGAAGGGAAGGCAAAAGTGTGTGTGGAAGTGAGGTTAGAGGACTTTCTTTTTTTTTTTTTTTTTTGAGACACAGTCCCGCTCTGTCACCCAGGCTGGAGCGCAGTGGCGTAATCTCAGCTCACTACAACTTCCGCCTCCCAGGTTCAAGTGATTCTCCTGCCTCAGCCTCCCGAGTAGCTGGGATTACAGGTGCCTGCCACCAAGCTTGATTAATTTTTGTATTTTTAGTAGAGATGGGGTTTCACCATGTTGGCCAGGCTGGTCTCAAACTCCTGATCTCAGGTGATCTGCCTGCCTCAGCCTCCCAAAGTACTGGGATTACAGGTGTGAGCCACCCGCTCAGCCTGAGTATGAGGATTGTCAAAAGTTAAAATGTGTGTCATATTATTATTTTCTTTTACAAAGGCATGTAGTATCTTATTTACAAACTGTTTCCAAGGAGCTCATTTTAGCTTTCCAACAAGTAGTAGTGTCACAGAAGGAAACAGGTGTCAGGAAAATGGGAGTGAGAAGACCTGAGGTGGAGGCTCATGAGTCACTGCTGACTGTGGCCCTGGCCCTGGGAAAGTATTTTTAAGTTTCCTCATCAGTAAAATTGGGATTAAAAAATTTTACTTCCTACTGTGGCTGGGAGGATTAATGGACGTGTTTTATAAACAGTAAAGTAATGTATAAATACTACTATTGGCTGGGCACAGTGGTTCACACTCATAATCCTAGCACTTTGGGAGGCTGAGGTGGGTGGATCACTTGAGGTCAGGAGTTTGAGACAAGCCTGACCAACATGGTGAAACCCCATCTCTACTAAAAATACAAAAAATTAGCCTGGCATGGTGGTGGGCACCTATAATTCCAGCTACTCAGGAGGCTGAGGCAGGAGAATCACTCAAACCTGGGAGGCAGATGTTGCAGTGAGCTGAGATCATGCCACTGTGCTCCAGCCTAGGTAACAGAGTAAGACTCAGTCTCAAATAAATAAATAAATAAGTTGTAAATGACCCCAAAATAGACACATTTTTGGTAACTATCTCTTCATACTCATTAAACAGGGTGGGGCTGGGCACAGTGGCTCATGCTTGTAATTCCAGATCCCTGGGACCCAGGAATTTAAGACCAGCCTGGGCAATAGGGCAAAACCTCATCTCTACAAAAAACAAAAAAACTAACCAGGTGTGGTGGCATGCAGCTGTAGTCCCAGCTACTTTGGAGGCTGAGAGGTAGGAGGATTGCTTGAGCCCAGGAGGTCAAGGATGCAGGGAGCTGTGGACTGGGCCACTATACTCCAGCCTGGGTAGCAGAGTAAGACCCTGCCTCAAAAAATAAATAAAAAATAATTCACAGGGGGATGGGAGATATGTAAATATGTCTGTTTCCAAAGTTTCTGAATGTAAGAGAGTATGTTTCTCTTACGCTTCAATAAGAGAATGCATTTCTTCTCTGTTAAAGGAAACGTGGCTAGGCTCATGCCAGTAATCCTAACAATTCTGGAAGCTGAGGTGGGCAGATCACTTGAAGCCAGGAGTTCGGAGTAAAACCCCATCTCTACTAAAAATACAAAAATTAGCTGGGTGTGGTGATGTGCACCTGTAATCCCAGCTACTCAGGAGGCTGAGGCAAGAGAACAGCTTGAACCCAGGAGGCAGAGGTTGCAGTGAACTGAGATCATGCCACTGCACTCCAGTGTGGGTAACACAGTGAGACTCTCTCTCAAAAATATTAAATAAAGAAAATGTGGCCAGGCACAACAGCTAGCCTCTGTAGTCTCAGCACTTTGGGAGGCTAGGTGGGTGGATCACTTGAGCCCAGGAGTTCAAGACTAGCCTGGATAACATGGTGAAAACCCATTATCTACAAAAAATACAAAAATTAGCCTGGCATGGTTGCACAGCTACTTGGGAGGCTGAGGTGGGAGGACTGTTGAACCTGGGAGGTCACGGCTTCAGTGAGCTATGATTGTGTCACTGCACTCCAGCCTGGCGGACATAGAGAGACATGTCTCAAACAAACAAAAACCACAAAACATTTTTAAAAAGACCTAGTTGTTGTCTAGGCATGGTGGCTCACATCTGTAATCCCAGCACTTTGGGAGGCTGAGGTGGGTGGATCTTCCGAGGTCAGGAGTTGCCTGGTCAACGTGGTGAAACCCAATCTCTACTAAAAACACAGAAATTAGCTGGGCATGATGGTGGACACCTGTAATCCCAGCTACTTGGGAGGCTGAGGCAGGAGAATTGCTTGAACTCAGGAGGTGCGGGTTGCAATGATCCAAGATGGCACCACTGCACTCCAGCCTGGGCAACAAGGGCGAAACTCCATCTCAAAAAAAAAAGGATATTTATGGGCCAACTGGGGAAATTCTAACATCAACTGAATATTGATTTTATTAAGAAATCATTTATTCAAGTGTGATCATTGTATTGTGGTTGGGTATTTTTTTTTAAGTCTTTCTGGTAGAGGTGTATACGAAGTGTTTATGGAGGAGATGACACTATGTCTTGTGATTTGTTTTAACATAACCCAACAGGGAGGTGTAGGAAGTGGGTGAAGATACAGATGAAATAACACTGACCATATGTTGATTAGTATTGAGGCTGAGAGATGAAGTCATCCTGTATCTCCTCTTTTTGTGTTTGCTTGAAGCTGTCCATAATAAAACAATAGAAACAAAAGACAAAAAACTAAAAAAAAAAAAAAAGTGAGGTAGATATATACATATAATAAAATTGGAGGCTGGGTGCGGTGGCTCATACATGTAATCCCAACACTTTGGGAGGCTGAGGCTGGTGGAACACCTGAGGTCAGGAGTTTGAGACCAGTCTGGCCAACATGGTGAAACCCCAGCTCTAATAAAAATAAAAAATTGGCTGGGCAAGGTGGCAGGTGCATGTAATCCCAGCTACTTGGGAGGCTGACACAGGAGAATCGCTTGAACCCAGGAGGCTGACGATGCAGTGAGCCGAGATTGTGCCATCGCACTTCAGCCTGGGTAAGAAGAGCAAAACTCTGTCTAAAAAAAAAAATTGGAAAGTTCTTTAAGATATAAGTGCAAAAGAAAGCAAGACATGTAGAGTATCATGATGTCTAAAACCACATAACAACTACATTGCCTATACACCTACATATGCATTAGAAAAAAACTGCAAAAAATGCATACCTACTTTTCAATACTAGCATCTCTCTGGAGAGGAGAATGGAAATGGGGGTAGGGATGGGTAGCAGGGCAACTCTTTTACTTTTGTATTCTTTTGTGTGATTTACTTTTTAAAAAATGAGCCTATGCTCAATTCTATATACTCAACTTCATTTTAAGAATAAAGTGAAGCCATCCCTACTCACTTTGAAATGGCCTCGTCACGGTCCCTGATGGCCTTCTGAAGCTGCTCCTTTGGCTCCCTGTCCTCAGATGTCACTCTGAGTCGGTCTCTCTCCTCTTTTAGGGCAGTCATCTCCACACTCAGCAGTGTCACCTAACAGAGGAATGAACATGGTATCACTGACCTGGGTGATTTTCCCTCAAAGAAAAGAAGAAGAAAGAGACATTAGGCAGGCCCAGGGTACATGCGTGGGGCTGCAGGCTGATAACATTCCACTGCCATTCTGCTCCAAGGGAGGGCCTGTCTGTCGTAAAGAAAGGGTACCACATGCTAGGCTTGAGCTCAGTGGCAAAGGAGCTGGGAGAAATTCAGCCCTGGACTTGCAGCCATAGGCCAGATCCCCTTTGCACTCAGCACAGCACACTACCTCCTTCCTCTCGAGGCACTCCAGGTAAGGAGTGAAAGAAGACCCTAAGTGCATCATGACACACATTTTTTAGGGCAGGAAATCCAGTTTCCTTTCCCATCATCTTCCACTCAACATGGATGCTGCTATCAACAGAGCCCTGGATGCTTCCAAAGCTTGAGACCCTGTTCCCATCTCTAACAGCACTTGGCACAGCCCAGCTCTCTTTCATTCTTCAGCTCCCCATGTGAAAGCCACAGAGAACCTGACACCCAAATGACATTATCATCTTTCACCTCAAACCTGTTACCTTTTCTGTGGTCTGTGCATCAGGGAAGGGCAGCACAACCTTCTCAGGTCCTCGTGCCCCAGCTGGGAGTCAACCTTTGGTAGTGAGGCACCCCTCCAGTGGCTCCATCAGGGACCACAGCTTTCCCTGCCCCACAGTATGGTAACCCTGTGTACATCATAATCTGTGTGATGGCAGGAAGCGTGTCACATCCATCTATGCGCATCCCAGAGCCTGGCTGTGTATGGTGCTTAATTCCAAAGCAGTAGACAATTATCATTTTTTGGCTAGTCATCATTCAAAATCTCTTCCTATTTTGGGGGCATTCCTAATTGTGTGAGATGTGGTGTGAGACAAGGCTCGATCTCCAACTCAAGAAGCCAATGGGAAAGACATTTCCTTTCCCAGGCAGCCTGGGCACAGGCCTGTGACCAAACTTGCCAGTTACATCCCTTTCCAGGGACTGCAGCTCTGAGCACAGCAAAGCTCCAGGCGAGTGGGGAATTACTGACAAGGGCAGTTTGTTTCTGTTGTCCCTTTCCCATGGCCTTTTCTTGTTTTGGAGCCGAGTTCTCCCACTTTCCTGTTGATTCTGTAAGCTACAGATCTAATATATTCTCTTTCTGGTTACATTAGGCAGAGCACATTTTTGCTGTTTGCAACCCAAAACCCCGCCTGGTAGAGCTTTCAATAAATATTTATTGACTAATGAAAGGGTGGGAGCCCCTTCTTCTCAGCTGATAGGCTCAGACATCAAGGATGCCTAACCTTGCCTTCATGTTAAATATTACTCATACTTTGACAGTCTTCTAAGAGAGGACCCATCCATATAGGTCTTCCTCCCTCTCACAAGGGGACAGCTGCCGCCTTTCAGTATACTCATCTATTCTTCAAGTCCCAGGTCTCATCCTCTTCAGCTAGAATGAAACTGAGCAAAGGCCCTAAGTATAAGCCTGAAAATCAAGCTTCCCTTGATACTGAAGTGTCTGAAAATCAATATACTTCAGACACTCCCCAGACTGCGACAGCAGAGCTGCCAGCCCCTGGGGTAACAGACGCTCTGGAGGAATTCAGAGGACAACCAACAGTGAAGAGGGACAGAAGGACAATTTGTTGCTACTATAAGCAATGCGTTTTGTACTCTGCAGAGTCTGGCAGGGAACATCAGGGTTGCATCAAGGAGCAGCTTCCCTGGTAGGGTCAGCTGGGTAGGTAGGGAGGGTAGCCTTGGGGAGTAACAGGCTAGAGCACCTGTGGCTTCCCAGCACACATATGCGTCCAACCCTGAGGCAGACAAGGCCCTAGGGCAGAGCACAGCCTCCCCGTATTTACCAGCGGGCTCTGCAGCCTGATAGGCCAGGACTTAAGACCCACAAAGCACCTGGTAGAGACAGCCAGACCTCCTTAGACCGAAAGAGCCCTGACATGGCCTTGGGCCAGCTGTGGGCCAGTCAGACAGATGTTCTGCCAGCCGAGTAAGGGACAGGTTAAAACTACATGCTAGGCAGGGAAAGCCAACTTTTAATATACTCCAAATAAAACTCCTTCAGAAGAACTTTTTACTTTGGCCTAAAAACACGTTTTTTTTTTTTAGGAGTTATAGCCTACCAGACAATTGCCTTAGGAGAGGTGACAAGGCACTTACCTTCTTTGAGCTATACACACTTTTCATAAAAAGCAGGAATAAAAATAATTATTTCTCACCACTAAGTTGTTGAGAAGTACGACGTGATAAATGATGTCAAGGGCGCAATGCAATGCCTGGCATACGGCTGTAAGCTCTGCTCTCTCCTCCCTCCTGCAAGGTGGGACCTAATCACTGCTGTCATGAGAACTGAGCTGGCTTGTTTATACAAAGACTTAGGTTACATCCACCCCCAAATCCACTTTTCTCAAATAAGGTTGTGTCTCTGAAATTAAATAGCAAAGAAAACATCCCAAAGTCAGATATTGAGGGCTTAATTTGCTCTTGTTCAACAATATTTGAGTGCTTATTCTAAGCAAGGCACTGTGCTAGAGGCTTTAGGAGAGGACAAAGCTAAGTCAGAGCTCGAGCTCATCCTTACGGGGTTTGACAGAGATGAGATGTGAGCAGGGTAACTGTGACAAGACAGAGCCGGGATGCTCCATGAGGAAGGGAATCAAGAGGGTTTCAGAAGGAAGTGAAGCTGGATTGGGAACTTGAAGGATGAGCAGCACGGAGATATGGGCAGGCAGGAGGGAAGGGCCTTGTGGGCATAGAGAAAGCTAGGGAGAAGGCCCAGATGGGGGTAGCATGAGGAGCATGTGCCACTGCCCTTTATATCCTATGTTCGGTTCGGGGCAAGAGGGAAATCAGAGGGACAGAGGCTGTGTGGCTGGAATGCAACCAGACTGCATGGCCACAAGGGCTCAAGGCTTCCTGCCATTTGATAATGGGAACCCACCCAGAACTTTTAAGGGGCGTCCCACTTTCAAGTCACGCTTCAGGAAGACCAATCCAAAGCATATGAGGGTGGGCGGGCTGAGGGAAGGCAGATAAATTGGGAAGTGGTGACCACAGCCAGGGTGTGAAAGGATGCAGGTCTTGAAATAGGGCAGGAGCTCGGAGGATGGGGGATGGAGGAGAGGGCCATGCTGAGATTTCAGAGAGGCACCCAGATATGATGAGAAGCCCACAGGCTCCCAGCACTCACTCTCTGCATGTTCATACCCCTTCTGGAGTAACAAGTGTGCACTCGAGTCAAGCATGAAGGATCCAAACAACAGAACTGGCTGACGGGCCTGAGAACTGGCTGCGGTCCTCATTTATAACATGTTCACATTCTACAGACTAATCATGGAAGACCCCCTGCATTCTAGCAGCTTCTCCATGCACACCAGAAGTGAGGGGTGGGCCATGCGGAGAACAGAGAAGGGGACAGTTCCTTGCCACTGACGGGGGTGGGATGAAAGGGGGCACAACACCATGGAAAGGACTTTGTTCCTTAAGCACAATAACAGGTGCCGGGCAAGTCTTCAGGTCTGGCTATGGATTTTGTTTCTGAAAAATAATTACCAAATTAAACCTAAGTTTTCTTTTATTTAAAAGTTTGGGTAGGCTTTTAAAATTCTAAAATTCTAAAAAACATTTCCAGGTGGAAATGGCTTCCTAAATATTTATTTATTTTGAGGCAGAGTCTCCCTCTGTCTCCCAGGTTGCAGTGCAGTGGCACGATCTCAGCTCACTGCAACCTCCGCCTCCTGGGTTCAAGTGATTCTCCTGCCTCAGCCTCCCGAGTAGCTGGGATTACAAGCACCCACCACCATGCCCAGCCAATTTTTTGTATTTTTAGTAGAGACGGGGTTTCACCATGTTGGTCAGGCTAGTCTCAAACTCCTGACCTTGTGATCTGCCCACTTCAGCCTCCCAAAATGCTGAAATTACCGGCATGAGCCATTGCACCTGGCCACTAAATATTCTACAACAGAATTTTGGCAAGCTACAATATGCTTATGTTTCTGAATAAAATAATACCCCCTTCCATTCACCGTGGGGTGCTGGTTTTATAATTTTGATAAACAAAACAACAAAACCAGTTAATATCAAAGAACTCATAAACAGAAGCACCTCATGGAAATTTAAATAGGCTTTAAAATAAAAACTTTTATTAATGCAAAGACCTTTTAGATCCAACTTACTCCTGCATTTTATTTTTCCAGTTTAGAAGATCTGTCTCTGAATCTGAATCACTCTCTGGCCAAATTACCTGCTGAAGCACTTAGGTTTCAGGCTGGTGAATGTCTGTGGCTACCTAGCCCCAGTCTCCAGCATTTAGCTGCAAGCAAGCCACAGCTTTTTTGAGACAGAGTCTCACTCTGTCATCCAGGTTGGAGTGTAGTGGTACGATCCTGGCTCACTGCAACCCTTGCCTTCCTGGGTTCGAGCAATTCTCCCATCTCAACTTCCCGAGTAGCTGGGATTATAGGTGTATGCCACCACATCTGGCTACTTTTTCTATTTTTAGTAGAGACGGGGTTTCGCCATGTTGGCCAGGCTGGCCTGAAACTCCCAACCTAGAGTGATCCACCCGCCTTGGCCTTCCAAAATGCTGGGATTACAGGCATGAGCCACTGTGCCTGGCGAAGCCACAGCTTGAAATGGCATCTTTGTGTCCTTGTTATCTGGTCACTCACAGAAGGAAGAGGACAGTAGATGGCTGGAGGTGGGTCCCCTAATATTTTCCAAGAAAATATCAGGAAGACTAATGGGATGATCTCCCAAAAAGGGGAGTTTCTTTCTATAAAGATATTTGAAATGTAAGTCTTTTTCTATAAAGATATTTGATATCTGAAATGTACTGACAGGGACTGCATGTGGTGGCTCACACGTGTAATCCCAGCATTTTGAGAGTCCGAGGTGAGTGGATTTCTCGAGCCCAGGAGTTCGAGACCAGCTTAGGCAAGATGGTGAAAACTCATCTCTACAAAAAAATACAAAAATTTAGTTGGGCATGGTAGCACATGCCTGTAGTCCCAGCTACTTGGGCAGCTGAGGTGAAAGGATTGCTTGAGCCCAGAAGTCAAGGCTGCAGTGAGCTATGATTGCGCCACTGTAATCTGGCCTGGGCAACAGAGTGAGATCCAAAAAAAAGGCAGGGCGCGGTGGCTCAAGCCTGTAATCCCAGCACTTTGGGAGGCCGAGACGGGTGGATCACGAGGTCAAGAGATCGAGATCATCCTGGTCAACAAACTGAAACCCCGTCTCTACTAAAAATACAGAAATTAGCTGGGCATGGTGGTGCACGCCTGTAGTCCCAGCTACTCGGGAAGCTGAGGCAGGAGAATTGCTTGAACCCAGGAGGTGGAGGCTGTGGCAAGCCGATATTGCACCATTGCACTCCAGCCTGGGTAACAAGAGTGAAACTCCATCTAAAAAAAAAAAAAAAAAAAAAAATACTGACTGAAGTGAAAGGCAGAATTAAATTCCATCTCAAAGAAACCTCATGTAGCAGTAATGAATGAACAGCTTTGAGCCAGGAAAGGAGAGGGGGCAGAACCAGGTTTAGAAGCTACTTGTTTGGTGCCACTCTAGCCCCTACTCCCAAGCAGGACAGAACCTCTACACATGACCATAGTCAAAATGAAGAGCCTTTATGTATCTCCTAGGATAGACTTTAGAAGCTCCTTTTTGGGTGGGGCTGCCTATAAATCTTTTAAAGTTTTTCGGATCAGAATAGAAATGTCCTTCTCCAGCATTCTCATTTGAGAGAGAAAATCAGGATCAAAGGAGAAACCAACAGCAAGGATGGCAGGAAGTTCTTCTAAAGCTGAGGAACAGGATGAGAGAGGTGGTGGTACTTGCAAAAGGGAACTGTGCTGTTAAGATCAATTGTTCTTGGTTGCAAACTTCCCTGCCCAGCAGCTGCTGGAAAAGCATTTGTAAATAGCTGGAGGGCTGTCAGCACCTATCAGTCAGATTAACTTTGGCTCTGTATAAGGCAGAGTGTCACTGGAGGAAATGGAGGGGCAGCTATTCTTATTCCTGCCAATTTTACTTTGGGCCAAACTAAAGGACTGCATTCTTCTCTTGAAGTTTACCTCAACTTCAGGTCACCATTCCCTAATGATTTGATGGAGAGCCACTTCTCATACGGAAGTGGGAGAGCAACTCACAAGGGTCCCGAGAGAGCCAGAGACAGGTGCACATGCCCTGCACTGGACTGAAGGTAGGGGTGCTCACCTGACTGTGGAGTCGCTGCAGCTCTTCTAGGCTTTGCCTCAGTTTACCCCTCTCTCCCTCCATGAGCTCCCTCAGGGCTCTTGAGTCCTCACTGGTCTGCCTTATCTGTTCTTCTAAGGAGTCATCATCAAGTCTCCGGGAGCTCTGACAGCAAAACAAAGACAGCCAGACAGTGATGGTAATGGTAGAGGAGAGATGGGGAGGGGTGAGAGAGATGGTTAGTGGGGAGAGAGAAGGAAAGGAGAAATGGGGGAGAGCAGAGAAATGGTAAGGGGAAAGATAGTAGGGAAGATGGAAGGAGAAAAAGGAGGACAGAGACAAAAGGTGGAAGGAAGAAAGTGGAGAAGAGAGATTGCTCAATTTCAACCTGTAAGCAGATGTTCACTTTAGTTTCAGGCTTGAGGAAAAGGAAGCTGTGTGGCGTGAACAGCACACCACAGTCGATAGCTCTCTTCTCCCACAGTGACCTGGCCTCATATTACAATACCTCTACAAATCAACACCGCATGATCAGACAGAACAGCTGCCCTTCATCTTACTTTACTCAGTACAGGTAGAAAGACACAACTTTTCTGTAGGAGGATGGAACATGAGGAGAAATAATAGCCCAAAAGGTAGCAGTGTGAGTAGAGGGTAAGTCAGGGAAAAATCTGTCATGAAGCCAGAAGAAATGCCAGTCTGCCCAGGATGCCCATGGAAACAGTCCTCTCCTCCATAGGTGGCCACATCTGGGATTCTAGAGCTGATCTTCTCAGAACTGATCTTCCCAACTTTCTGTGCTCATTTACATTCTTTTGGTGGAAGCTTCAGATCTTTTAGTTTTGCCAATTCACAGCTAACCCTACCGCTAGGACCAAAGGGCTACAGAATAGCAATTTATAGTTTTTACTTGGATCCAAACTTCTATATGCAAAGTTTCCAAGGAAATTTAAATTGGAAGCTGCCACTGTCTGTGTATCACTACCTGAAGAAAAGGTCTCCATGGGTACCTGGTATCTGCAGGAAGCTGACTTTGGAGCCCTGACACTTGGCCCCTCTGCCTCATCACACCAGTAATTGGTGTTCTCAAATAATAAGGGCTCATGGACGGGCACGGTGGCTCACACCTACAACCCCAGCACTTTGGGAAGCTGAGATGGATGTATCACTTGAGGTCAAGAGTTCAAAACTAGCCTGGCCAACATGGTGAAACACTGTCTCTACTAAAAGTACAAAAATTAGCTGGGTATGGTGGTGAGCGCCTGTAATCCCAGCTACTCAGGAGTCTGAGGCACAAGAATCACTTGAACCCAGGAGGCAGAGGTTATAGTGAGTCAAGATTGTGTCACTGCACTCCAGCTGGGGTGACAGAGTGAGACTCTGTCTCAAAAACAAAAACGAGACAAAACGAAACAAAACAAAACAATAAGGGCTCAGAAGAAATTCTTGGAGATATTTCATTGGGTTTCAGTTCCAGGGCTGATCCCTTCTATATTGGGTTCTAACCTGCCAATAGCCAGCTCCTGTGGGGTAAGGACCATCTCAGACTGGCCTCTTACCGTGGGCTCCATGCCATCCACAATACTCTGTATTAGTCTCTTGAGCTCGTTGAGGGCAGTGCGCAAGCTGCCGGCTGGCACATCCTTGGCAGACGAGGTTTCTGAAGACTCATCCATGGAGGAGTCCGTGGAGACGGCCGAGTCAGCGCTGTCATTGCCTCGAAGGTGTGAGCACAGATAGCGAACCTGGCAGTAGGCTTCCCAGAGCTGCAGTCTCAGCTGTTCCACAGAGAATTCTTCTTCATTATGGACTCTAGAGAAAACTGCCATCTGGCCATCTTTTTTTAGCATCTGAACCCAAAATACTAACACCTAAGACACTAGTTCGAGGAGAAAGGGCTTTTTGTTCTGTGTTTGTTTTTTCAACTTATTGGTCCCAAGAAATAATACTTATTCTGAGCCAAGTACATCTATATAGACTCCAAATTCTTATTTTCCCCGTTCTCTAGCTTCTTCCATTTGCAAAATAAATAACTTCTTTATGTAATCAGTTACTTTGATGGGAGTCAGAAACCAGTGAGTAGAATGAATGGTTCTAGGTATTATGAAAAGTGTGAAAAGAAACCAATTAGATGGGGAAGATGGATCATGATTGCTCTGGAACTCTGTCAATATAAGAGGTATGGAGCTGATGGCACAAGCATTTCCTAACAGGAAGTGGGGTGACAATGACTGGGAACTGGCTGTGCCTGTGATACTGTCCTCTAGCAATTCAACACCTTAATGGATAAGGTGGGTGGAAAATGGAGGGCCAGGGGCATGCTACATCAAGGCCTGCGTCACAACACTCTAGCCAGCAGGCCAAGGGGCTGACACAGGCACGGGGGCACAGCCCTTGCCAGGCTGGCATCTGAGCACTAGAGAGGATGGGCCCTGAGCAACTCCAGGGAGCCTCTCCTGTGGGGTGACAGGCAGGTCAGCACCTGCTCTCGCTCTTGTTCCAGCTCCTCGGCCTCCATGCTCTGCTCAATCTCTGACAGGAGGGATGTGCTGGTGGCGGCAGAGCTCTGCAGACTCCTCTCCTCAGTGAGTTCTTCCACCTTCACCTGCAGTTGTCGGCAGGAGAGACGCACCTCCTGAAGCTCCAGCTGGCTCTGGTGCAGCTTTCAAAGGAAGAGCAAATGGTAGTGAGGTTTACCAAACACAAACCAAGACAAACTGACCCTCAACCCGATCATGCTTCTGGATCCAACCACCAATTTACAGAAAAATAAACAGGAGAGAGGAACGTGTTAAACTGCATCAGGAGATGCACGCAGCAAAGTCCTAATCTAGAAAATTCTGGCCAGGTGCGATGGCTCATGCCTGTAATCCCAGCACTTTGGGAGGCTGAGGCAGGCAGATCACCTAAGGTCAGGAGTTCAAGACCAGCCTAGCCAATATGCTGAAACCCTGTCTCTATGGGCACCTGAAATCCCAGGTACTTGGGGACTGAGGCGGGAGAATCACTTGAACTCGGGAGGTGGAGGTTGCAGTGAGCAGAGATTGTGCCACTGCGCTCCAGCCTGGGTGACAGTGTGAGACTCCATCTCAAATAAAAGAAAATTCTACAGGACAAACAACTCTATTTTCTTAACAAAAACATTGTAAGGGGAAAAAAAAGATAAAGGAGAAACACAGAAATAAAAAAAGATTAGAGTTATACCAACCAGGCCTGGCACGGTGGGCTCTCGCCTATAACACCAGCATTTTGGAAGGCCAAAGTGGGCTGATAACCTGAGATCAGGAGATCAAGACCAATCTGGCCAACATGGTGAAACCTGTCTCTACTGAAAACACAAAAATTAGCTGGGTGTGGTGACGGGCGCCTGTAATCCCAGCTACTTGGGCGGCTGAGGCAGGAGAACTGCTTGAACCCAGGAGGCAGAGGTTACAGTGAACAGAGGTTGCACCACTGCACTCCAGCCTTGGATGACAAGAGCAAAAACTGCGTCTCGAAAAAAAAAAAACTTATACCAACCAATTGCACTGTATAGGCCCATTTTAATTTATATCTTGATTCAAACAACAACTGTGAAAAAAATATGACATTAATAAAACAAGTGAAAATTTGAAAATTCACTGGACATTTTGTGATATTAAGAAAATATGCTAATTTTTGGGTATAATAGTACTGTAGTTACATTTTTATAAGTTCCTATCTTTTAGAGGTTAGTACTTTTTATTTACAGACGAACTTACTAAAGTTTGAGATTTACTTCAAAATAACATGGGAGAAAAGGAAATGGATGTTATGAAGATGGGGCAGCACTGGCCAGGGATAGGTGGTTTTCAGAGGTGGGCTTGATTACACTGTGCCACTGTGGAATGTTTGAAATCCTTTGTAATAAAAAAATCAAACACACACACAGGCACACAAAGTTAGATACCATTAGACTCTCACCAAGCTGGCTAACATAAATAATACAAATAACATCAAGTGTTGATGAAGATGTGGGACAATGCTGGTGGGAGTGGAAAATGTACAAATACAGTGGAAAACTGGCAGTTTCTAATAAAGTTAAATACAATCTATAGTCCACAATCCACTTTTAGCTGTAGACCCAACAAAAATGAAATGTGCACAACCGACATATACAGGATGTTCAAATAGCCACAAACGGGAAAGAATCCAAATGCCAATAAAACTAGAGTAAGTAAATTGTGGTATGTTCACATGTTGCAATACTGCCCAATGATGAAAGAATATACTGTGACTACATGCCACAACATGGTTAAATTTCATAGACACAATGTTCAACAAAAGCCAGACATAAAAGGTATACATGATTCTATTTATAAAATGTTCCCAAACGTCACTGAGGTAGAAGAAAGTTGGAGTAGAGGTTTGCTTTTGAGGAAGCGGTAAGTATTCTTTTTAGGGTGCTGATCATGGTCTGTATCTAGATCTCAATGGTGGTTACACAGATATATATTTGTAAAAACTAATTGGGCTGTCCCCTTAAGATTTTTGAAGATCTCTGAGGGAAGCTTCAGTTCTAACTCTCATGGGCAGAAATGTACATACTTTTGCCATGTCTAACATCAGTCCTTCATCCTGAGCGTTCACCTTTTGTTCTCTCTCAGTCCTTTCCTGAAGACTGGAAAGAGCTTATTACTTGGAGATATTCCTTTTCAATAGCTTTCCAAATAGCCCTATTCTGCAGGCCAAACATCATATATATTATATACTCTTTAGGCTATTCCCAGCCTCTCTCTCTTGATTTTTAAATGATCACAGAGATTTTCACATAAACCTACATTTTTAGAGCTGGGAGAGCCACAGAGATCAATGAATTCAACTATCTCAGGATAAAATTGAAGCTCAGAAAAAAGGGAATGGCGCCAGTGGTAGAGAGAAGACAGCAGCGCAGGGGTCAGAATTGTGGGTAGTGCTCTTTCCTTTTCTCTCCATGCTGCTACTTCAGCCCCTCCACTCCACTGCATTCTCCATGGCCCCTTCGGTGTGGAGTTCACTACAGGGCACAACTCTCTGGGGAGGTTACTACTACTGAATATAAGGGGACGACCCAACCACAACTGCTAAATGCTATTTTTTTTCCTGAGTCTCTGTCACCCAGGCTAGAGTGCAGTGGCATGATCTTGGTTCACTGCAACCTATGCCTTCTGGGTTCAAGTGATTCTCCTGCCTCAGCCTCCTAAGTAGCTGGGACCGCAGGCATGTGCTGCCACATCCGGCTAAATATTTTATTTTTAGTAGAGACAGGATTTCACCATGTTGGCCAGGATGGTCTCGAACTCCTGACCTCAAGTGATCTTGGCCTCCTAAAGTGCTGGGATTATAGGCGGGAACCACCGCGTCAGGCCTAAATGCTACCTTCTTATCTGTGTACTCCCCATGACTAACTTGCTTTTAATACAGCAGACCCTAGTTGTAGAACTGTCATCAGTTTGCTAGCGGCTAGGCACAGGGCCACATGCCACATCTGCCCAGAAGCAATGTTTCCTACTCTTCCTATTTGTGGACTGCAACACCCCCTCCTCCTTAGAAGACTTGCGGGAAGTTGGGGTGGGGGGAGAACTTCCTAGGATTTAAATTAGGATAATTTATTCTTTCATAAAACAACATTTCTGGGGTCACCTCTGTTCCATTCAAAAGAGAGTAGACACTGCACTGGTCTTTTCCAGACTCTTGGCCGAGTCGGCTTGTGGCTCCTGCAGAGATACAGACTGGAGTGGCTGGTAGCCAATTAGAGCTCTGTAGTTCTCATAAAGGCAGCAAGCTGCCTTGCAGAGCCTTTGGCCTATCACTTAGGTGCCCTGGGAGCCTAACCTTCACCATCCGTACTTGGAAATGATTGGCTAATGGCACCAGTGTTCTGGAATGACCTTAATGAGGAAGGGTTTGGTGCCCAGCTGCCCAGAGAAGGAAGAAAGGACTGGCAAGCCTGCTCTGAGTAGTTCTGGTGGATCAGCAATACCTGCTGGTCCAGTGGGAACTTCTCCAACCCCAGTTTTGAGGAAACTCAGAAAGAAAAACATTAGGGTTACAGGAAAAAAGGAGACATTCCTAGGAAGCATTTGGCACGATTACAAATGGCATATTATACTGGCAAAATGCTTCACAATTATTTTTTAGACAACTCTACACACATCTCAGCAGGAGAAGTTCAGCAGAAACAAGTACAAGTTCTTATGTACTGAACAAAATTAGTTCAATTACTCATGCACACTCAAAGGTGCTTAATTAATGGTAACAGCAAGAGAACAAAGACCAGGAGGGGTCTCATTCTCCAGTCAACAACTGATTCACCAACCAGACAGACTTAGGCAGAAAAACCAAACTACACAAGAGAAGAGTCTATTACATATAAGAGCCCTTTAAAATAAGAAACACTGGGTCAGGCGTGGTGGCTCAGCCTGGAATCCCAGCACTTTGGTAGGCTGAAATGTGTGGATCACAAGGTCAGGAGTTCGAGACCAGCCTGGTCAACATGGTGAAACCCCGTCTCTACTAAAAATACAAAAATCAGCTGGGTGTGGTGGCACATGCCTGTAATCCCAGCTATTCAAGAGACTGAGGCAGGAGAATCACTTGAACCTGGGAGGAGGAGGTTGCAGTGAGATGAGATCGCACCACTGCACTCCAGCCTGGGTGACAGAGCAAAACTCCATCTCAAAAAAAATAAATAAAAATAAAAAAATAAGAAACATATCATCCTTTATCTAACAAAGATGACACTAAATGCTTTGTGTTTGTATAGCACACTTCATTTAAGCTCCTCTGAGGGAACTGGGATGGTGTGATGTGAAGTGATTTGTCAAATGGTAGACAATCAGCATTAGAGCAAGGTCTAGACTCAACATCACCTGCTTCCTGGGTTGCCCCACAGTGAGCAGGGCCTATGCTCTGCTGATGGGCTCCACCCATTTACTGGGACTAGGCACTGCACACATCTGTAAGATGTCCAGCTGGGTATGAGACAGGACAGTTAAGTGGCCCTTAGAGGGACAAATGGATTTCCTTTATTGGATAATAAGAGTTTGGCAAAATACTTGATATATACTGGGTGCTCAGTAAATAATACCTTTATTTTTATCTTTATCTTTAATTTAATTTTATCTTTATCTTTTTATCTTTATTCTCAGGTCTAAAACAATTCAGAGTTGGATTTGATCAGTTGTTTAAAATCTGTTTTTGACAGCAGGACCCCAATTATATAGTGAAAGAGATCAAAAGGGGGTTCCCCTGGTTGTGGCAGGCCTGTTGCCTCGCCTGCTCAGCCATCCCTCACCCTTGTCTGAGGATTTAAAATCAATGGATTAAACACATTCCAAGGCCACTAGCTGTACATTTTGCAAGTATGGTTTAGAATCACACAGCTGCTACCTGAGTAAGCTGGATTTTTAAATTTCTGTATCAGTACAGGCCATTTCAGCAACAGAAAGGACTTTCTAGAGGACACTGGTAATTAGTGGCAACTTGAGAGTTTCACATGAACTGAAGGACTGTAGTGATAAGTTGTTAGGGAAGATGATAATTCAGCCTATAAATGCAGACTTTCCAAATCAATTGAGTATTGCCTGACTTGCTGCAGATCCTTAGGTGAATCAGTCTTGAAGTTCACCTTCTCAGTCTTGAAGTTCAACAGGAAGTTTGGATGTGCACATGGTGAGCAAGAGCATGTGGCATGATGGGATTCTCGCTGCTCAAGCATGTGTGGCCCACAGTGCTGGTCAGGTCACTGATGGCCAACTAGTTCTGCCTCTTCCCCCCGACCCAGGTCCTCAATTCTTGATTTGAAGTAGACTTTTCACTGTAAATTCATGCTAAACTGAAGGTTTCTTTTAGGTAAGGGCCATTTTTCTCTTTCTCCATACTTATCTTCCTTCTCCTCCCGTATCTCAGCAACCCTCAGGAGAGTGCTTGATAGGGTAATAAATGCTGGTCAGGAACTGACGTTCAGAGACAAGTGATACTAAGAAGTTATTGCTGAGCTACAGGCAAAGCAGGTGAGAGGGTTCCAGTCTCGATTCTACCAAAGATTCACTATTATGACTTTGGATAAACGATTCAGTTTTTCTAAATCTCAGCTTTATGATGTATGCTAAAGATGTACACAAAAAGCACTCTATATGCTAAAGAGGCACACAAGTTCACTGCTATTATCATCAACCTTGAAAAATAAGCAAACTCCTTTCCATCTTGAAAACTGCTGTAAGTCTTCAGCCAGCACCATTTTCTACTCAACATTTACTGAGGCACTACTATTAATATATGAAAAGTTACCGGCTGAAGGTACTAAAAACATGGAGAAAGAAAAGCCATTAATTTTCCTTCAAAGAGGTTCATCACTCAGGTGTTGGCTTAGCTGATGGTGTCAGAGGCAAGTAATCTTAGCCCAAGACACTATTTTCCTTATCCCATAACCCAAGGCTTTCAAACAGCCTACCTAGGAGCCCAATGGGACCTTCTGTGGCCTGGCCTCTGGGCAGAGACCCACCTGGTGCTTGAGTACACCTGGCTGACCACCTCTGCACAAACATTACTGTTGCAATCTGGTGCACTCCCTGGCATGTACAGAGAATGCCAAAGGGAAGCAATGCACTCCTAATTTCTGACCCCAGATCCTCCTAGGCAAGCCCAGCAAAGCATCTTGGTAGCAGATGCTATACTCTATTTCTGGGGAGACTGGAATGATGGTATCTTTTTGTTTTGGGAGTTGTTTCTTGTCAAGTATGAGGTTGGGGATTCAGCTGAGGCCTGGTAGCAGTTCCCAAATAAGAACAAATATGGCCATGAAGCAATTTCCATCAGAAGTAAAAAAGACTGATTAGGCTCACAAAGGGGTCAGTCTATGCCTTTTCTGGCAACTGGCAGAAGAATATAAATCTTGCTGTGTTCAGTGGGCAGCTTCTTGGTTTCTGCTCCATGCCAGCCAACTAAATCCATGAGCTTGGGAAGGCAACAGCAGAAAACATTGTAAGCTGAGTTAGAGAGAAGTTACAGGCTCCCTCTGAAACCTTCTAGCAGATTTTACAAATGTTAGGAGGCCAGAATAGCACTTCTAGCCCTGTTCCAGCCATGTTAATAACTCAGAGAGAACTCTGTGACACTGCTCCATGGGCCAGTGGTACAGAACACATTAGAGAAATGATCTGTGGGTGGCAATACACTTCCTTTAGACAGAGTCAAAAGAGCCAAGTTAGTGAATGCCCCAGGGCCCACAGTGAGATCTCGGCGTCATCCACTCCTGGCTTACTCCAGCAGTGATGCTGGCCTCCCAGCTTTTTCTTTTTGGCTATGCGCTCCTTTTATCTGGCCCTAGTTCTCCAAGACAGCTTCTCTACCCCAGTACCTGTAGGTCCTTGTCATGACCCTGCCTCTCCAGGATTAGCACCCGGTCCTGTAGCTCCTCCACGGTCCCTTGGAGCAGGTCATTTTCCTCTAAAGTAGCGCTGAGACGATGCTCCAGCTCCCGTTTGCGATCTGACAGCATCTTGATCTGAAAGGGTGGAGAGCACAAGGGTGGTGTGGAGTTACACCCAGGCTGACAAGTAGGAAGTAGAGACTAGCCCGAAAACAAGAAGGCAAGTATCTTTCAGTGTTCTGCCCAATGTCATGGTACCCCGTCTCTGAGAGAATGAATAGCTATGAAACCCTAAGCTGAAGAGAAAACCCCTCCCCTCTAGAAACCTGTCTGGGAAAGGGTGGGAGTTGAGCTCTGGGGAAGCTGGAATGTGGGATGCCAGGCAGGGAGGAAAGGCTAGTGCTCTGGAAATTCCAGAGATAAGATAAAAAAGGGCTCTACCTTACCTGCCCTTAACTTTACCCCTAACTTCCAATTAGCAGGAGGAGTGAACCTAACCTGCTGCACTTACTTCTTCTCAAGTCATGAGCATGAGAAAATGCCCAGGAAATCCTCTGGAGCACCATGTTTTCATTACACATGCAGGGATTCCCCTGTCTTCTCTTCCCCACTCCTGCCCCCTCTGGCGCTAGAGCTCACAGCTCAGATCCAGTGCCTTGAGTTAAGGGTAGAGTTCCCAGGGTACAGAAAGCAAAGTAATCCCTGCATCAGCCTGTGTCCTGGGACAGAACAGGACATAGATACAAGTGAATCCTGACTTTACTCAGAATAACTTTTACCTGAGCGAGTCATTCGTAACACATTGATATATTCGTATACACTGAATACCTAGTCAGTCTCCAGATAAGTAAAAACCTTCTTTTAGGAAGGTCTGTCTAATCTCTTCAGTGTCAATGAGAAAACAGAGGAAAAGAGGAAGGAGATGCCAAGTCTCCTCTGGCCTCAAGGTATGCGGGTGAGAAGCAAAGCCAGTGCTCCCCAAGGCCAGAAATGCTTTGCTCAAAGATCACTACCCTGGCTCTGGGGCTCCAGAAAGCCTTCCCAATTGGGTCTGACTCTTGGGGGACCTTCTAGAATCCTGGAGTTCCTTGTGGATCCTCCCATTTATCAGTGCCCTGCTGGACCGATTCTCAACCAGCTTCTTGCTTCTAAATACTATACTTTCCTAACATGGTTAAAACATTTCCTAGGTTCTCTAGTCCAGCCTGGATAACAATTCCTTAAGGCTCCTACTTGGGCAGGTTTTGGGAACAAACCTTAGAACTTTTCCAGGGGAAATTCTGAAATGAATGTCTAGCTCCTTTCAAGACCTATGAGATACAGTTTTCCCTTTGCTTTTCAGCTGTTCTCACTCTCTGAACTAGAATTCTGCTCATAGGGCACAGATCTTCTCTGGCCACCAATCAATCAGATAGGATGTTGTCCTGGGGAAATGAAGTATGTGGCCTTTGTCCAGAGAGATCAGATATCTGGTCAAACAAAGAAATACTGTCTCTCAAGTGTGCACCTGGGTAAGGGACCAAAAGGAGCAAGCCCCTTTTGTGAATGGGCCCACTATTTCCTACACTGAAGCAAAGTTACCCATGTGAAGAGAATTCTTACTCTAGCTGATTTTCATTTAAATACCCTCTGACCTTTAAATTTTCCTTCCCATAAATCATCTTTGTTTCCCAAGTTTCAGTCAGTGAAGTGATGAGGCAATAAGATTCTGATACACAACTGATCCTGAAAAAACTCAGTTCGGAGCTACACAATGTGAAACTAACAATTTCATGCTTGACTTTTTTTCCTTTTTTGAGATGAAATCTCACTGTGTCGCCCAGGCTGAAGTGCAGTGGCACAATCTTGGCTCATTGCAACCTCTGCCTCCCTGGTTCAAGTGATTCTCTTGCCTCGGCCTCCTGAGTAGCTGGGATTACAGATATGTGCCACCACGCCCAGCTAATTTTTGTATTTTTAGTAGAGACGGGGTTCACCATGTTGGTCAGGCTGGTCTTGAACTCCTGACCTCGTGATCTGCCCACCTCGGCCTCCCAAAGCACTGGGATTAAAGGCATGAGCCACCGTGCCCGGCCTCATAGCTTGACTTTTAAAGGTAGCAGTGTTTATGGACAAAACAAGGAATCAGCATTAGGCCGCCAAGTCCCTCACCCAGCCCTATACACCCTGAAACTTGTGAACAAGTCTGGCAATAAACATTCCTGGGGATGTCCCGGACATGAGGGTCTAGAAAAAGTGAACAGGTGGGGGAAAGAGGAAGACAGGAAACTTGAAGGAGTCAGAGCGTGGCAGAGGCAGGTGAATGGCAAGTCATGCACACAAATGGTCACACACAGGCATGCCAAACCACACTGGAACAAACTACTTACTTCAAGGACCTGCTGCTCAATACCAGTAAGCATTCCAAGGCAGGGGGCGGGGGGCATAAACGGAATGGGAGGCAGGAGAAAAGAGAAGATATTGATAGACTTTAGGAAAAATATCCTCAGGTCATTTACTGAGCAGGGGAGAAGGCTATCTGGGTTTCTCTGGCCTGACCGTGATGACTGATCACTTCATCACAGTGGAAGGCACTCATTCAACCTGACTCTAGACTGTCCTTCAAGCTTTGACTTAGCAAAGGGGTTGCTGTCTGGATACTTGGCTAAAGGATCCTCAAAAGCAGAGCAGGTGGAAGCCTGCCCCGGGGGGAGGCCTGGTTTGGGCTGGTGATAAGATCCTTACCCTCTCTCCTCACCTTCCACAACCAGATTCACACAGTATTGTTCCCCTGTTGATACTTTCTTTCCCCCTATGTTCTGCCCTCTCCTACGTTTTCGATAACATCACTGTGCTCCAGGTATCACATGAAGTGCCTCTTATGCATTAACCCATAACATCTTCACAAAAACCTATGAAGCAGAAACTTTTCTCTCATTTTGTAGATGAGAATAACAGTAGATCTTATTAAGATGGATTGAACTGGGCCTAAATGGAATAGAGAGGCGAGATGCCATTTCCCACCTTCTATTTGGGATTGGCAAGGATATTTTTGGAGAGAGCAACATAGTCAGTAAAATGTAGGTCATTCGTGATTTCAACACATCCGGCAGTAACTCTGAGCAACTTCATTTTTCCAGACAACAGGCTACGCAGAGAAACATGGATCAAATGTTCCCCATTAAGTTTCACACAGAAATGTCTTTCTGTAGAGATTTAAGTCCCTTTGTCTCCCAGTGCAGAGTTCCCAGTGAGAAAAGCACTCCATCTTCCAGCACTGCTGCGTGGGAAGGCTCACCTCGGCCTGAAGGCTCTCCAGCCGGATGATGTGCTGGTTGGTTGACGAGTTTTTCTCCCGAAAGTCTTCTCTGAGGGCGTGGACTTGCATGGAGAGTTGTCTCTCAACTTCTGATGCCTGAAACAGAGGAGACCTGCAGAGCTGATTCAGAGGTTGTGCAAAGAGGTCTATTACGATTTCTGCCTTTCATTTATCAAGCATCTCTTTGTACTTTCCATTCTATAAGGAGCACTAGATGAGATGCTGGTTTCCCACCCACAATCCATTTGTTCTCCAGTGCCAAAACAGGACAAACTCCCACCTCCACCTCCACCATTAATGGCTCTGTCTAGGTCCAAGACCACTTTACACATCAGAGGAAACAGCCCCAGAAAATAGTATGCTCTTAAATGTTAGTTATCATTATTACTCTATATATAGCAGAAACTCAGCAAATATGTACCACATTGAAAGTCTGAATATTTTACATGAAAGAATAAGATGGTTATACCTACTGCCTTAGAAATTCCTTTATTTTTCCCATCAATCTCCTCAAGTGGGCTCAGTCAAATCACGTGTCTGCATTTCTCTCCTCTACGTAACATGGGCACACTGTTTGAAATTCCTTGTTATACCTGTTAAGATTTTTGCCGCTCATCCCTCAAGGACATTTTTGCAACTTTTAATTCTTTGGGGAGTGCCAGCAGAGGTGCCTATTTCCCACCTCAATCCTTTTATTATCTAATGCTAAAATACAGCAAATACCAAAATACCATTTGATGTTGTAGGAGGCTCACTTGGTAACACAAACTCCAGCCCTCCTCCTGAGGTCCTAGCCCAGACCCTGCTGAGGAAGCCCTGCTCACTGTCCTGTGGAGAGGAGAGCCACGGGACAAATTAAGTAACTGCCTCAATGCTTTTTCTGAGGCCAAATGGGGTCAGTAAGCTTTATGGGTTCTTGGGAGAGATCACCGCGTGCTGGAATGGCCAGGAAAGGCTTTCCGAGGAGGTAGGATGTAATAATGAGGAAATAGTAGGCTAGCTGTTCGATGAGGCTCTCACAGTAATGGTTACATGTTCAATAGTTCTTTTTATCTTCAAATACTATATAATCAATTGTCCATCTTTTTTTAAATTTTTGCTTCCACATATTCAACAAATTTTCCTTCACTGGACCACAGAGGCACAGAAGATTCTTAATCTACAGTCCTATTTTAAAAACAATTAAAAACACAAAACAAAATAAAATGAAACCATACTCTAGTTGATTTTCATTTAAATATCCTCTGACCTTTAAATTTTCCTTCCTATGAATTATCTTTGTTTCCCAACTTTCAGTCAGTAAAGTAATGAGCTAAGAAGATTCTGACATACACCTAACTCCTTAAAAAACTTAGAAGTTCAGAGCTACATGAAGTAACTTGACTTTATGATGCAAGGAATCAGCATTAGGCTGCCAACTCCCTTACCCCACCCTACACACCCTGAAACTTGTCAACAATGCTGGCAATAAACATTCCTGGGAATATTTCCCCTATATTATTTCTCCTTTATACTCTAAATTTAATTTCACATACGCATTAGGCTGTTTTAGACTTCTCAATCACTTAGAAACACATTAGCCACTCACTTTTGCCTAAGAATCACATTAGTAATATTTACTGAGTACATACTATGTGTCAAGAACTGTGCTAAATGCTTTCGATGCATTATCTTGATTGTTACCCCCAATTTACTAACAAGGAAATAGGCTCAGGGAAGTGAAGGAACTTGCCCAAGAATCAGGATGATAAAAACTTTGGGCTGGGCTGCATGCGCTGGCTCATGCCTGTAATTCCAGTACTTTGGGAGGCTGGGGCAGGAGGACTGTTTGAGCCCAGGAGCTTGAGACCAGCCTGGCCAACAAGGTGAAACCCAATCTCCACAAAAAATACAAAAACTAGCCAGGCATGGTGGCATGAGCCTGTAGTCCCAGCTACTCAGGAGGCTGAGGTAGGAGGATCACCTGACCCTGGGGAGGTTGAGGCTGCAGTGAGCCATGATCACGCCACTGCACTATAAGTTTGAAAGCCAGTCTCAAAAATAAATAAACAGGCTGGACATGGTGCCACACATCTATAATCCCAGCACTTTGGGAGGCTGAGGCAGGTGAATCATCTGAGGTCAGGAGTCTGACACCAGCCTGGCCAACATGGTGAAACCCTATCTCTACTAAAATTACAAAAATTAGGCCAGGTGAGGTGGCTCACGCCTGTAATCCCAGCACTTTGGGAGGCCGAGGCAGGCGGATTACAAGGTCAGGAGTTCAAGACCAGCCTGGCCAACGTGGTGAACCTCCATCTCCACTAAAAACACAAAAATTAGCTGGGCATGGTGGTATGTGCCTGTAATCCCATCTACTCGGGAGGCTGAGGCAGGAGAGTTGCTTGAACCAGGACCCAGGAGGCAGAGGTGGCAGTGAGCCAAGACTGCACCTCTGTACTCTAGCCTGGGCTACAGAGCGAGACTCTGTCTCAAAAATATACATATAAAAATTAGCTGGGCATGGTGGTGCATGCCTGTAGTCCCAGCTACTTGAGAGGCTGAGGCAGGATAATCACTTGACCCTGGGAGGCAGAAGTTGCAGTGAGGTGAGATCACGCCACTGCACTCCAGCCTGGGTGACAGAGTGAGACTATGTCTCAAAAGAAAATTATTTATTTATTGTTTAAAAATTAATAAATAAAAAAACAATTTTGGGTGTCTTACCCACAAATTCGGACTGTAATACTATCTTCTTGTATTTTGAAATAGTTTTTCATACTTTTATTGTTCATTACTGAAACCAAACTTGATACGAGTCCAATTTAGCAAGGCTTTTCTTCTTTTTTTTAGTACTAGGCATTTCATTTGACTTTTTTTTTGTTGTTGTTGTTAATGAATGAGAGCTTCTTATGTTGCTTAGGTTGGCCTTGAACTCATAGCCTTGCCTCCTCAAGTGCCAGGACAACTGGCTGGAGCCAACGCGGCTCCCTCATTTGACTCTTAAAATTTCTTCTAAGGCTGAGTACGGTAATCCCAGCTCACATCTGTAATCCCAGCACTTTGGAAGGCAGAGGCTGGTGGATCACCTGAGGTCAGGAGTTTGAGTCTAGCCTGGCCCACATGGAGAAACCCCATTTCTACTAAAAATACAAAAATTAGCTGGGTGTGGTGGCGGGCACCTGTAGTCTAGCTACTCAGGAGGTTGAGACAGGAGAATTGCTTGAACCCAGGAAGCGGAGGTTGCAGTGAACCAAGAGTACACTATTATACTCCAGCCTGGGTGACAATAGCTAAACTCCATCACCCACCCCCCAAAATTTTTTTTTTTTTTTTTTTTTTAATGGAAGGTAGGGCCCATCAGGAAATCATATGCTGTAGTTTGACAGCCTATACTGAATTTAGTTGATTGTTGAGATTTCAAACATACTTAGATTTGCAAAGCACTGGGTAATTTAGGTAGCTGATCTTATTCCTAGCATCACCACTTTGACATGAATCACTCAAAAATGAAGCCATAGAGATGCACTGAGGCTGCAAATCTAGTCCAGCTGGTATGAAATACTCCTGTAGACTATCTCCTCTCAAAGTGATCCTCTTAGAAATAGAAATTTGTCTCTTCCTACCAGAAAGTTAAACTCCAGAGCCTGAGGTATTAAGCACTAAGCTATAATGTTCCCATTAAATGTCCCTGACTCCTCAAACATGCCTAGGGATGTAGTTTTTTTCTAAAGCTTTTAACCTCAATTTCTCATCTGAATTTCCAACAGCCCTAAGAAGCAGGAATCACTGGCCTACTTTTGCAGACAGGGCGATAGAGGCTGCAAGAGTGTGCACTGCACTGGCTTTTGGCTACCACATCACAGCCACCTTCCAGCCAGGGGGCCAATCAACTGCCTGTGATGGTGATGGAGGGGACAGATTAATCTGAGTTATAAACCTACCATTTGCAAGGAGCTAATGCACCTTCCAAAGTAAATTATTTTCTTCTTTTTCAGAGACAGAATTTTCACACTTTGGACTTGACTAACACTATGAGTATTAGCTATTTCTGCACATAAATTAAATAATAACTCCTTAAATTTATATTTAACTCTTATGTTCTAAATGCTTTGTGGAAGTTAAATGCTAAATAAGGAAGCACAAAGCCAGCCTTAGCTCTGGAATGAATTTCAGAGGTTCTTTGAAGAACCTTTGAAGAAACAGGAGAGTTAGCCAGAGTGAAAGCAGTCTCTCTGAAGGGACACACTGTGCTCTTTAGAGGAGGGATATTGTGGAAAGACAAAAAGTTAAGTAAAATGGGCCAGGCATGGTTTAATCCCAGCACTTTGGGAGGCCAAGGTGGGAGGACTGCTTGAGCTCAGAAGTTCAAGATCAGCCTGGATAATATGGTGAAACCCATCTCTATAAACTTCAAACTCCTAGTAGTACTTGTCCATGAGATTTCTCTGTAATAATTGGAACTTGTCATCCATGATAATGTCCTCTAAATATACAACCACAGCATCAAATTCTGCATCAAAGGTGGAGGAGGACAGCCTGAAGCTCTCTTCCTCTAAGGCATCCATTGTTGTTACTGTTCCCACCTGTATGGGCTAGAGGAAGCACTGGGCTCCTATCTGATCCAGGGTCTGGCATAGGGCCTAGCCTGCCCTCTGCTCTGCAGAACCCTAACCTGCATCAAGGGCAGGTGGTCGGCTGGAAGGAGGCATTGCTGTGCAGGCCACAGCCTGCTCACTCACCGCCCAGCAGGGTCAGTGCTTATGCTCAAGGCCTGGCCTCGGGCTCCTCAGCTGCAGGTACTGGCCTGCCAGGTCTCTACATCCATCTAGGCCATTCTGCTCAATTCATTATTATTATTATTTTGAGAAGTTCTGCTCTTGTTACTCAGGCTGGAGCACAATGGTGTGATCTCGGCTTACTGCAACCTCTGCCTCCTGGGTTCAAGTGATTCTCTTGCCTCGGCCTCCTGAGAAGCTGGGATTTACAGGTGCCGGACACCATGACCGGCTATTTTTTATATATTTAGTACAGATGGGGTTTTGCCATGTTGATCAGGCTGGTCTTGAACTCCTGACCTCAGGTGATCCACCTGCCTCAACCTCAAAAGTGCTGGG